ATAATCGAGAATAATGTGTCAGGTCCTTTGTCGTCCAAAGAGTTGCAGTTGTATCGGCGAGATCGCGTATTAAAAGCGAGTGAAAATTTATTATGAACTATAGGGGAAGGGAGGGAGGGGGAAGAGGAGGAGGAGAAGGAAGAAGAGAGAAAGAGAATGAAAAAGGAAAATAGGATTAAAGATGAAATCGAACGTAACAAAACGATGGCGGCTCGTGCTTAATCCGAATTTATGGATAATACCTCTCTCTCTTTCTCTCTCTCTCCACTTCCCAATTATAAAGATCCTTGTTACGTTATCGTACGTTTTTTTCTTTTTATTCCTTCCTTATCTCGGAAAAATTCTGACAAATTGAAAAGAAAAGCAAAAGAAAGGAGAAAAGGAAAACGAGACGTTTAACGAACGTTCGTCGAGTTCCCATTTTGCGTTTCTTGTTGAGAAAAATGGCTGTCCGGGTTAAGCATCGACGCCATATTGCCTTTACGAGCAGGGAATTGCTCTGAAAGCCGAATAAAAAAAAAAAAAAGAAAAGAAAAGAAAAGAAAAAAAAGAAGGGATTAAAAAAAAAGGAAAGGAAAAGGAGATAAAAGCGTGGAAGGATAAAAGCGAGCGAGAATAAATCGATGGAAACTTAGTAGCGGCGTGAGTTACTTAGAGATTAATTTACCAGAAACTGATTAATCTCTGGCCGAGTTGTCACGCCTCCGCTTCCGGTTCGCGACAAAATTCTAGTGGAGGATTGTACGCGAATAATTTTTCTGCTCGATCTTCGATTTCGATTTACAGATCGTCGAGAGTCACCGGTTCGTCGATTCCCTCCTCGTCGGTTTCCGGCCGCGTTGAACCGGAAATCGCGTCGGTGCAGAACGATTCACCGAGTTAATCGATCGGTTCTCGAGGCCTGTATGCTGATATAGCGAAAAAATTTTCGAGGAATGAAGGAAAAAGATGAGACCGGCGACTCTCGAAATCGGTATGTGAGTGTGTGTGCATGTATTTCTGCGTGTATGTATGTGCGTGTGTGCATGTGTGTGTGTGTGCACCGAGGAGAAAGCTTGACACTCTTTGCTCTCGTCAAAAGAAACGACGATATTCCAAGGTCCTTAGTTGGAAAAAAAAAAAAAAAAAAAAAAAAAAAAAGAGGGAAGAGAGAAAAAGAGATTTCGTATTTTGCGAATATTTTTTTTTCTTTTTTCTTTTTCCTTTTTTTTTTTCTTTATTCCTTCTTTTTCCTCCTCATTTTTCTTTTTGGTGCACGAGAAATACGAGAAGATCGAGGGAACACGCGAGATCGAGAAGAAGCGAGGATTATGAATAACGAGTCTTTCAATTCACTACCGTACTGCCAATTTTTCCGATGCGACGCGTAAATAACTTTAATAAAAGAGTTTAAGGCGAGGCGAACAGCCGCGACGAGCGATACGATTCGCGTCCAAACGCGCTCGTCCGACCTTCGTTCGTTTTCTTTCGTCGCTCCGAAGTCCTGACGGAGGACTGTTCCGCGTTGTATCATCAGGAGGGATGACGTGCCACGGAGGGTTCCACTTTTCGTGAACGAAGAATTTTCTATCATCATTTTTTTTTTTTCCTATTATTTTCTTTTTCCAACAAGAATTGAGGATTTTGCAGCGAGAGAAAAATTTTTTGAATCATTATACGTATGATTCTCCTCTTTCCAAAAGAAATCTATATTGTCTGGTGTAAAATGAACGGAACGATTTATATCGTGGATTTTGGATTGTTTTGCGTGATAAAAAAGAACCTGGACTCTTCTCTTACAGGAAACATTTCTAATAATAATAATAAATTAAATCGATAAGGTTATGTATTTTATTGTTAACAGAGATATTTTTTGTGATATTTTAATGACTATTTATTAACAATTGTATGGAAAAAAAACGTTTCTAATTAATATTTTATCTAATATATCGAAGCAGTAATAATTCCACAACTGTTACGCTATAAATGAATCCGTTCCCCCTTCGCTGCAAGATCCTCGATTCATTCACACGATAAATTAAACCCGAATAAAATCTCCGAAAAATCTCGTTGGGGTGGGGATCGATTATTCTATTCGAATGGAACGAGAAGAACAATGGGAAAGAACTGCTTTCACCTCGCATAATCGTTGGAAAAACCAACCAAAGGATTTTCCTTTCCTTCCCTTCCTCCCTTCAACGGGTCAATGGGGAAAAGGAAGTCAATGAACCAGTCACAAGCGCGAGGTGAATTCGATCGATCGAACCGTTTCCACTTTGTTTCGCGCCGAAAAGCGTCACCCTCCGCGTCGCCGATCCCTCGTCCGACCCTCTTGCTTTTTGCATCGTGAACGGGGAAGAGGGAGGGGGGAGAAAAAAAAAGCGATCCTTTTGTAATCAGGACACCGTCCACAGGACCTGCGAGCGTAGCAGGATCGACCATTGTTCCTGACACGCTCGATTCGTGATTGCGATTCGACACCGGGAGATCGAGCTTGCGTTCGAGATTCTACACACCGCCAATTAACCGCCATCTTGCCATTTCTTCCGCGAAATTTCCGCGGTGGATCGAAGGAGAGTTCTTCATCCTCCGCGATGATGGAAGCGTTGAGAAACAGAAAATGATGGAAAATGTGAATTGGTGAACGTGAACGAGTTCGAAGAATCGAAGAATCGATCTTTTGCCTTAAAACGATAATACGTAATACTGAGATGGATTGATAATGGATTATTGATGCGAAAGTGGAAGAAAAAGAAATTATGCAATTTTGAAAGTTGCTTATTAAATTTTATTAGATATTTTATCTCGTAGAATTATTAATGATTTATTTAGTGAGTTTTTTTTA